GTGTGTGTGGGTGTGTGCGCAGCACAGCCGAGGAGGAGCTCGGGCAGGGCCTTGGCCTCAGCCATCTGCCCCTGTTTACTCGGCCCACTGCTGTTGGGGGTAGGGGTGGTGCCGTGAACCAGGACGGAGGCAGAGCCTGTGACAAGGTCAGTGGGAACAGAGTGCACCCCGGCCCCTGTGAGTCTGGCAGGGCCTGTGACTTTCTGGAGAAGAAACTTGTCCCTGTGCTGCTCCTGACCATGGCGTACCATCTGCTCTGCCAGTGTCTGTCTCCCCCACTGGCTCGAGCTCCTCAGGGTGGGGCCTCCTGGCCTGAGTCCCCCAAATTGAGCACGAGCCCTGATACGTGAGTGTCCTTTGGGGTTTGTGGACTGAATGCCTGGCAGACGGCGATGGTCCGCCACAGCCGCCTCTCCAGATGAGAACTTTTACATGGAAAAGTCCATCTCTTCCCTTTCCGTGGCCAGAAGGTGTCCCAGGCTCACATCTGTCACCTGGGCCTTGGTTTCCTCACTTGAAATGGGGGAGCGATAGCGCCTACCCTGATCCCAGGCTTGAGGATTAAGTGAGGTGACGTGAGCCAAGCGGCTCTCGGTTGCTCTGTGTGGCCCATTGTTGGGCAGGCCCTGGAGGGAAGGCCGTGGCATTCCTCGGCCGCCCACAGGGAGCCCCTTCCTCCTGCGGTGCTGCGGCCACCTCCCTGGGAGGTAGGCGTGTCCTCGGTGCTGCAGCCAGACCCCAAGCTGCCTCTGGGCCCGAGCTCCTGGAGGGCAGCAGGCTTTTCAGACAAACAGGATGGGCTGTGCCCCGCCTTCACCCTGGAGGAGTCTGGGCTCTTGCCCTGGTTCTGGAAACTTCCAGACAAAATAAAAAGAGACTGGGAGGACGGGAGCTTGTTGCTGTCCCTTCACTAATTTGTTCCACAAATATTGGCTGAGTGTTTTCTGCGCTGGGTGCCACGAGACGCACACACAGATGCCGGCTTTGCTCCAGGCTACCTGTGGGTGCTGAGGGAGCCGCGCTGGAGGTTGGCGCAGGTCCGTGTGACGGCCGAGGCCAGCGTTCGGGGACTCACTGTCAGAGCCACTGACACGCGAGTGTCTTTTCCTCGTTTGTGGGCTTAGGGCAAGTGAGGGACAGGGGATGAGCAGCAGAAAATCAGAAACCAAAGCCTGGACTCCACCCGGGGCCGCCCTGAGCCTCACTGTCCCCTCACTTGTCCCACAGTGCGCAGCTGTTGCGAGATCCCGCTGTGGGAGGGCTGGCCGGGAGGGCTGGCGAGGAAACGCAAGGGAGGTGGAGCCAGCTGCAGGCCGTGGGTCTTAAACTCGGCTCTCCTGTGCTGAGAAAACAAAACCCCAGGGAGGGCCGGGCGCGGTGGCTCA